TAAGTACATGAGAGTCATGTGGGCAGGCCGAAGCATGGGGCCAATTCTCCTTAAAAGCTGTTTTATGTTTTCAGCTTCCAAGAATACTTTCCAGAGATCCCAAGGGATCACCTCCACTTCCCCAACAGCTCACATTAGCATCAAGACAGCATCCTGGATGTCCAAGCAGGAAATATCACAGACTGTCTAGTCTAGCCTGCTCCTTGTAGACGGAGTAAACTAAAGCCAAGGCAGGCGGATGGGGAGTGACTTTTACCAGGTCACTAGACCCAGTTATCCTTGATCCCTGGGCAGGGTCTCCCTCTCATCCCAATATCACAAGGGCATAAAACTTGAGGGAGGGTTGGGCTGTGCTGAGGACTGGTCAGTTCTCTTTTCTCTTCCTCTCAGCTTTCCCAGCTCTGACCAATTGGTTTGGAGCTCTCAGTGGTCAAAGCCTAAACGTCAAAAGGTTAGTTTCAGCCTCAGTATTGGGAGATCCTGCAGCCCGGTACTCTGGGCTCCCTCCGCCTATAACGACACCCTCTGATGCCTGTTGTCCTCTCCTTGTTAATTCTTTGTTCTCCAAGCAATCTCTTCAGCTCTTTCCCCTGGGTTCTAGGCTCAGATGGATGATCCAGGGGGGAAAAGGGAAGGCACTGGAGCATGTTAGCTGAGCCTGAAACTCAGCTGCCAGGTCTGATTTCAACACTCAAGTCAATAATTGTGTCTGTTACAAGTGAGTGGAGGGCCCTCCGCCTTTACCTTGGGGGTTCTGGATAATAGCTATTACAGACATGCATAACTCCAGGAGGATATTCCCAGAGTACAAGGACTCTGGCTGGGCAGAAAGGAGCCTCCAAGTTCCCCTCCCTCCCCTCCTCACTCAGGCAAATGGCCCAAGGTTCTGGGCTGCAGGTGGGAACTGTGATGACAGCAAAGCTTGGAACTCTCCTCTAGTGCCTACACTTGACTGTTCCCTCCATCTCTGTCGCACACCAAGTTAGAGAGCGTGGAAATGAGCAACTGGTCAGCAATGGGCTCTTTTTTTTTTTTTTTTTTTTAAGATATATTTATTTGAGAGAGAGCACGCTAGAGAGATAGAGCATGCACGGGGGCAAGTGTGCACAAGCATGGGTGGGGGGGGGGGGGGGGGCGGAGGGAAGCAGAGGGAAAGGGAGAAACAGACTCCGGAAGGGCATAGAGCCCAGTGCCGGGCTCTGGCTCCATCCCAGGACTCTTCAAATGTGACCTGAGCTGAAGGCAGACAATTAATTGACTTAGTCACTCAGGCTCCCCTCAGTGATGAGTTGATGGGTTCTTTAAAGCCTGGGGGATGAAGCTGACCCACCATACCTCTTCTCTCTGCACTGAATGTGTTTGGAAAAAACAAAATAAAAACTATGCAGTTACCTACCTTGTGCCCCACACCACACACAACATAGAAAACAAAAATGGGATTTCAAGTGTGTTGGGAACCAAGGCTCAAATAAATACATTTCTTTGCTTCACAGCTTAGTGGGCTTTGTAAATCTCCCAGTGGAGTAAACATGTTTCCTGGGGACACTATTAGGAAACAGCTGTCCTAGAGCTGTCTTAAGAACTGATTCAAGGAAGTATGCAAACGTTCTTCAAGGACTACTTTTTTAAAACTATGCACATGTATTGTAGGCAACTAGAACTTGAAAATAAGGTTGCCCCTTGAAAGTTACACTATATCAATAAATAGGGAATTGGAAACAGAATTAGGGAACGTGAACCTGATTAAAACATTAGCATATCTAAAGAATAAATGGAAATTAGAGCAAGGCCAATTTAGGAGGCAAGTGTGACCATAATCACACTTTATGTGGGATTATCGACTAATAATCTCTGCCACTGGAAGAGGGTGTTGCCTGCATAGTCCAGTTGTTTGGTGCTGGTGGCAGAAATACCCACATGGAGGTGACAAAATCTCTCTCCTTGACCCAACCAAAGTCAGGTTTCTCTGAGCTCCTTTTCCAAGGAGGTCTCATCCTCGGGCTCTCTACTGCCTGCTAAGTCAGTTTAGAGAGAACCCTGTACCATATTGGAACACCATTGATATCTGATCAAGTTTCTCATCCTCCACCTTTGATGTACCAGTCTTGACCTGTATTTAGCAGGAATCCTGTTAAGTGAACTTAGCAAGAATCCCCCTATCCTTGATGTCTCCTCTTAACAATTTTCCATCTGTTTGCTGACTGGAAATCCCCAGATATCTTCAGAGTGAAGCCCGATCTCTCTCCCCAGTTGCCATAGTCTTGACCCCTGTTGCAATATAAATAAAGTCTTCCTTACTGTTCGAATAAGTGTCAGAATATTTTTTTTGTTTTGTTTTTACTTAAACAGGGGTGAGGGATGGGAAGGATCCAGTACTCCTACTTGCTGCCTTCAAACATTAGAACTACTAAAAGGATCAGCCTTGTTTTTCTTTCATGCTTGTCTAACTACCTCGGGTGGTCCCTACCTTCCAAAGTTGTTCTCAGGATGAAGAAAATTCCCATCACCATTTTATAGTTCTCGGTATTAATAAGTGGGCATTGATGCTGTTTATATATTTCTGTGATTAAGTTAAGCACTGAGCGGTATCGCCAAGTTCAAGCACATTGACAAAAGTCAAGTTTCTAGGGCTGCAAAAGAGACAACCAGAAGGTGAGATCTGGCCACAGTGAGCTACAGCAAGAATCCATGCTAGAGCTGAGATGACACAGCTACCTAACGAACACCAGCCACCAGAAGTCAACAGGGAGTTAGAGATAGGAAATAATGTGGGTGATACCAACTATTTGGGCTGCTGCACTCAGAATCGAATCCTCCTTCTCTCTCACTGCCTACATCCCAAGACTCCATTATATCTTGTGTTTCTAACCTCTATCTCTCAGATCTACCAATGGCTTTATCCTGACTTGGAAATCTTATTAAAATGCAGATTCTGTTCAGAGGTCCAAGCAGGGGTGGGGATAGGAGTCTGCATTTCTAGCAAGTTCGCAGGTGTTTTGATGCTGCTGGTCCACTGATCCCCCCCCACCACCTTTGAGCACAAGAGGCAGGTGCCATCATCTTTAGTCTTGGAGTATTGCCACAAACTCCTAATTGGTTTTTCTGTCTCTTTCCAATCCATTTCCCACCCCACAGCCAGTGTGGTCTTCCAAAAATCAAATCTGAACAAGTTCCTCCACTTTTCCTTGTTTCCCATTGCCCTGGGCGCCCTCAGATCCTGCTCTTGCCTCCCACTGCACCTTCAGGCTCCCACTCCTATCTCACGCTCACTGTTCCAGCCCTGGTGAATTAGGCTCAGTTCCTGTGAGCACCGTGTGATCTGTGTTTCTGAACTTTCTCAGAAGTTCTTCTCATTTTACAAACATTATTTTCCTTCTAACTCCCATCTTCATCCCTCCCAACACCTCCAGGCTTTTGCAATCCAGTTATATACCCTTCTGTTGTGATTCTATAATACCCTGGACTTTCATCATTGTACTTATGAACCTATATAATTGAAGTTTCTATCATTAGATTATGAATGGAGGAGAGAAAGAAGTACCTGTATTTTTCCATTGTGTCTCCATCCCATTGTTTTGCAGTATAGACATGTTTAAAATATATTTATTAATTTGAATTTATTGAATTGAACTGGAAAAAGGAGAGCATTCAGGAAATAGAAGCCTCCCTGGGTTTCAAACTTATATCCCATTTGGTCTTCTTCATAGTCACATCAAAGTTACTGCATGCTAAGGATAAAATTGATTAGGTTATCAAACTGAACCACAGTCTAAAGCTTTCTAACTACTTTAGAATAAAACCAGTCTTGCAGTTCTGTTTTAAGTTCTGTCTTACCTAAGCAATACAGAGTACATATTTTATATATAAAACAAGGCAGATCTGACCAGCTGTTCTTTACTTTTACAGAAGAGATAGCAAATGTAAACAAAAATGCAGTAAGATAGGCAAAGTAAGGAAAGACTGGATGGCAAGTGGGGAGACAGGTTAAATGTGAGGCTGCTCTGTGAGGGGCCCTTCTAGAGAGGTTTCGCATGATAGCTAAGCAGTTCTTTAATCTTAGTATGTGAGATGCTGTAAATGAGTCTTACCTCATTTAATTATAATTTTTAACAAAATCTCAAAACTTTACATCACGTTCTGAGATCTCATAATGTATCATTTAAAAAATCGTAATGGGGGGTGCCTGGGGGCTCAGTCTTTAAGTGTCTGCCTTCGGCTCAAGTCATGATCCTAGGGTCCTGGAATCGAGCCCCACATCGGGCTCCCTGCTCCACGGGAAGCTTGCTTCTCCCTCTCCCACTCCCCCTGCTTGTGTTCCCTCTCTCACTGTGTCTCTCTCTGTCAAGTAAATAAATAAAATCTTTAAAAAAATTTTTTTAACTAAAAATTCATAATAGAATCTTCTCAAGAGTAAAACAGTGGCTCAGTTGGTTAAGCATCTGCCTTCTGCTTGGGTCATGATCCCAGGGTCATGGGATCAAGCCCCCTGTTGGGCTCCCTGCTCAGCGTGAGTCTGCTTCTCCCTCTTCTCCCTGCTCCCGCTCTCTCTTGCACTATCTCTGCCTCTCTCTCCAATAAATAAATAAAATCTTAAAAAAAGGAGTAAAACAGATGCACATGCTTACCATAAAAGTCTATGTTGTTGGAGTATAGCAATGCAATAGGTTGATTTATATCATTATATACAAAATTATAACTAGCAATCTGTTGTATTTTCATATTTTTTTCACTATGCTTTGCTTTTATTTTTTAAAGGAAGGAATAGCATAATGAAAGCACTAGGATATAGCTTGCCTTCTTGTTTTCTCATTGTTACCAGATCCTAAATCTCGCCTCTGATGTGGCTCGGGACTCTGGTGTAGAATATATTACTTCATTCCCACGAAGGTATTACCTGACATGGAAAAGGTCACCTCTGGGAGCCCACCTGGCTCACTGGATGAATTCCTCACTAGTAAACAATACGCTCATTGTCTTTCCTTGGTCCTTGTTCCAGAGCCATGCCTAATGGAGGCCAGCAGCAGCTGCCCAAACTCACCTTCTTGGAAGGAATGAAAAGAAAGAAGAAACAGAGAAAGCTGGAGTTAGGGAGTAATTCAATGTATCAAAGTATCTTTCATGTTTTCTGTGTGAGAATATTGAACATTTTCACAAGTGTGAATTTACTTTTAACACAAATATGATAAACCTATTTATTGAGTACCTCGGACATGCCGAAACTTTAAATATGTATTTTATTTTGTCTCTGTGACAGGACGATTAGGTATTATACGGCCCAACTAAACTGAGGCCCAGAGAGAATCAGTCGTAGTCAGTGGCCGATCGGGGATTCAGCCTTGGATCAGCCTCATTTCTAAACCTAGCTCTTCCCTCTAAGCTCTGCTGCCTTTGAGAAAGCAAATCACCAAAGACAAACGCATAGTTAAAAAATAAAGACAGAGCTAAAAACGAATATGCAGGCATGACCAGAGTCTATCCGAGTATCCAAAGAGCACGTGAACGCCGGGCACTGGACCCCTGCGGGATTGCTGTCCTCGCGGGGAGAGCTCCTCTCCAAACCAGCTGCTGTAACTGTGGCTGCGTGTTACTTAGGAAAACTGCAGAGCGCCGAGCGGAGGGAGCGCGAGAGAACTGCAACCGGATTTAAGATGTCAGAGTCTGTAAAATATGTATTTAGTTTGTCCAGTTCATTTCCACTGCCACTTCCCCCCTTGTAACTCTCCACTCTTCCAGCTTGCCCTCCCCGCAGCCCTTCTCTACACCCCCAGGAAATCAGATCCTTCGTCCCAATCTTCTGTGGCTGCTCGCTGGTTCAAGGATCAGGTTAAGCATCCTTTACGTGGCGTCTCAGGCCCTCCACGTTCAGGCCCCTGCTCTGCGCACAGGCTTCCACTTCTTGCCATCTAACCACCTGTGTGCTGCGCGCTCCGGACGCCCTGGCCTCTTCCTCCCTCGGCGTCTTCGCACACCGAGGCTGTTCTCCTGTCCCCCGCCTTTAGCTTTCCCAAGTCCCACTCACTCTCCCAGTCTCGGCTTAGAAGCCACTTTTTAAGGAAAGCCTTTCCTGGCTGATTCCTCCCCCGTGGTCTCCTCCCCCGCCATCTAATTAGATCTTCCAGACTGCTCCACCAGTACTTTTCATGTCACCAACCGCAGTACACATTATACACTTGCCTGATTATTTTTAACGTCTGCAAGTGTTACAAGGGCTGCCACACTGCTGGACCTTAGTAACTTGAATGAATGGAGAGACTTGAACTGGGTTTTCATTGTCACCATCATCAACCTATCAGGCAATATTTCGCGTCCCTCACTGCTGCTATCACTGGTATGCCCGCCCCTGTGGGCTTGGCAAAGCCCTGGTGGAGAGCAGCCCCCCTCCCCCACCTCGCGCTCAGGAGCTCGGGGGAGGACCTGGACACAGCGGGGCTCGGGGTAGGTCTCAAGGCCAGGTGTCCTCCTGGCTCCCAGGTTCACATGCATTGGGGGAGGAGCGGCGGAAGAAAAAAGAGAGACTGAATCAGGGAACGCCCCGTACCTAGAGGGGACCGCGGGCGGCGCCTACTGCGCCTCCCGCCTCAAGGCCAGCAGCCGCCGGGGACCTCGACTTCCTCCTTTGGGGGCCGGCGCGCGGGGCTGGGCTGGGCTGGGCGGGGCGGGCGACGCCTCCGTCGGGCTGGGCTCCCGGCCGCCCCAATGGGATTCGGTGCGGGGCCGCGGCTGCGCCCAGTCCCGGCGGCGCGCTCGGCCGCGGAGGAGGCTGCCCGGCCGGGGCAGCGGAGGCGCTGCGCTGCGCTCCGCGAGGGGAGGCCGAGCGTGCCAAGCTGGCGCCCGGCGGGGCCATGGTGGCCGGCTCCCGCGGCCTCCTGGCCCTCCTGTTTGTGGTCTCCGCCCCGCTCCGGCTGCAGGCGGGCGAGCTGGGTGAGTGGAGGGCGGGCGGCGGGGCAGGGCGGGCTGGGTGGGCCTGGAGCGACCCGGCGCGGGAGGAAATGGGTCACCGCCTGATCCCCGCGGGGTCCTGCTCTTTCTGGCGGACGGCGGCTCGAGTATAAAATAAGTTACAAAATTCCAATCGTTCCCCCACCCAACTCCTTCCTTCCCCGCTCGACCAGAGAAGCAACTTGACACCTCCCGCGTCCCCTCTGCTTTCCCCGCAGCCGGGCTGACTCTGCTTCCAGACTTCCTGACTCCGCCGGCCCCGGGAGAAGTGACATGGCCCCGGGGGTCGCGCGCTGACGACCCCGGCCGCCTTAGGGGAGAGTCGTGAGCGGGGACGGTGATCGCAAGCCTCCTTGACAGGGCTCCTCAGCTGGACGCCTGGGCCCTCCCGGTCCGCTGTCCTCCCTGCGCGGCTGCGACCCGAGGGTGTGCGTTTGCCGCTCGTAGGAATGGGGGGCGGGGGGAGGGGAAAGGTTCCCCCGAAGTTGGGGAGGAGGGCCGCCTCACCTGTGTGCTGCTTGCGCCCCAAGTTGTCATGTGGCTCGGCTCTTTCCTGGGTGTTTGAGCGAGTCGATTCCCGACCAGGCTGGTCTTGGACCTGGTCCTTGGTTTCAGGTGGGACGTGATTAGCCCACGACCGACTTTACTTCTGCATAGCCACCTGATTAAAGCAATAAACCGTTTTACCACCCAAGCAAATCCTTGTTAATTAGTTCTTTACTGATAGGGCAGCTTTCTGCAATTTTTCAGCTGTTTTTTTCCTTCCCTGCTTGTGCCTCTATACAACGGAGAGTATTGAATGGCACTATCCAGAATATTTTGACAACTCCCCCCACCCCTACCTTGTGTTTTCTAATGAATCCAAATGCTGGCATTTTCTTCACTGAACCAAGTATCCATTCCCAGTCCGAAACATGAATACTCAAGATGTCAGCAGTGGTTCCCAAGTTTGCTTACATACCAATTTGTTTGTTTGGTTTTTTGTTTGTTTGTTTGTTTGTTTGTTTTAAGCTCAAGTTTAGGCACAATATGTCTTGGCACTAACAGAATGCTACGCATATCGTAAAATTTTAATAAATAATGTATGTTTTTATTAAATGTAGGATTTTGATCATAGGTGTTTTAAACATTTAAAAAATGTTTCTCACCTCACTGTTAGAAGATGGGACCTCTATGAATGTGTCCAACAATGTGCCCCTGTCCTCGTCTTGCCACAACTGTCTTCCATTTTTCCAAACGAAGTTTCAGATGTTGGACCTTCATCTAGGCTGTTGAGTGGGCCCTTTGTGTAGAGAGCAGTTCTCTGGGAGCAAGTGTGATTGCTTAGATCTTACTGAGTTTCAAATCTGAGACTTGGTAGCAGCTGACTGGCAGAAGAAAATGTTGTCATTTGAGTTTCCACAAAACATCCTATGTGTTTAGGATGTTAAAAGAGCCAATGAAGGCATAAGTATTCAATCACACAAAAAAAGCAAATCTTAGATTTGGGACATTTTACTGAAAAAAAAATTCTAGGAACTCTGGTCTGATATCTCTGGAGTGATAATCAGTGATTTTTTTTTTTTTTTTTAGTATTTCTCACATCTGTGGTTTTCTAATCAGCCCTTGGTCACTTGTTTTGCAAGTTTACATAAATTTAAACAGGCACTCCCATTTTAGGTCTTGAGATAGGCTACTGGCTACATAGTCGAAGGGTGGTCAGAAGTGATATCAGCAATCTTGATGCTTAGAAGAGGACAGCTCTAGAATAACTTTGGTGAGAAGTTGACCCCATTTATTATATTTTACCTTCATCATTCTCAGAGTCAGCTTAGTCTGTTCTTGGGTCCCAACCTGCCACATCACCACTATCTCCGGAAGCTTTGTAAAGCCCCAACCCCATGTTATGAATCAGAATTGCAAGTGGGTCAGGCCTGGGAATAGGCACTTAAAAAAAAAATTCTCCCAGGTAATTCTGATTCTACTCAGCCTTGAAATGGTGGAAACATTTTATAATTTTAGGATTATAAAATGCTACCATCAATGTCATAGACAATTTAATATTACACTTTTATTCACTGGATTATGTTTCAGGAAACAAATGTGACAATTTAAGTATTTATAAGCCTAGTCAATGAAATTATTCCATTTTTTTATGTCAGAGTCTGGGGAAGCTATACTGGTTCCTTTGTAGGGCTTCTGTTTACCTGAAGGTGCTTTTGCTCAGTTTATTTTTTAAAAAGTGGCCACCTCTTCTAGTATTTATAGCATGCCGGGCCCCAGGCCCCAGGACTAGATGAACAGAATTTGGTCTGATTTCTGCTCCTTCTTATGCCCTTCCTCTGGACCAACTTAACTAAATTTAGATATGGTTTCACATGGTTTTTGATCTTATGTAACATGTATAAATTGACCTTTAGTATTAATGCAATTAGTATAAATTCATAGGCTTGGACTTAGATCTTCATACCTTGATTCTAAGTTTTGAGAACAAAATATCCTAATTTGTGTGATGAATTTTTGCTAACTAGAAATCCCTGATTCTCTCCTCAGGAAAATATTCGTAGATGTATATTAAAGATTTCCTCCATGTGATTTAAGTTTTAGTGAAGAATAAAAATAAGCATTCAGTCTCTAAGGAAACTTTAAGCATAGACTTGGATACTTTAAAATTGCCTTAAAAATTCTGCCCAACTCTCATTTGTTATTATCAGAAGGTCTGATATATAAGATATATAAGATCTCTCCTACATATTTGGTTAGACATGGGACAGTGGATATCTGATGTTCTGGGTGAGTGACTTCTTAAAAAGTAAGCCCGAGCTTATTCTGGTACCTTCTGTATCAGTGTGTATACTTTCCCCAGCCTTTCCATCATCCCATCACTGGGATTCTGTCTACTCTGTTGGACTGCCAGTTCCTGAGGGAGTGACTGGGATTGTCCTTATCCTAGCGCCTGACAGATGTGCTTAATAAATGTTTCTTGGGTTAAACTGAACAATCTTTTCATGTTTAGGCGATATCTTCAAGTTATTTCCTAATTAGTAGAAACTAAGTAATAGGGGTGCCTGGGTGGCTCAGTCACTTAAGTGTCTGCCTTCAGTTCAGGTCATGATCCTGGGCTCCTGGCATCCAGTCCTGCATCAGGGTCCCTGCTCAGCAGAGTCTGCTTCTACCTCTTCTACCTCTGCCTCTCCACCACTTGTGCTCTCTCGGTCTCTCTCTCAAATGAAAAAATAAAATCTTAAAAAAAAAACAAAAAACAGAAACTAAGTAACAAAGAGTCTATTGAAGGTCTTTATGAAGGTTCCTCTGGTGCTTCCCTTAATTAATTGTGTTTAGCAAGCCTGCTCTGTTGGCATACTTATTTCTACATGTCTATATATATATATCAAATAAAAGGACAGCAAAAAGAAGGGAACGTGCCAGCAGACCAGAACGTACCGTATCTTTTGGCTGTAGTAGATGTAACACTCAGAAACACTGAGTTGTATCATATAGTTCAGGAAAAAAAAAGATGTTAAAATGCTAAAGGCTTCATTAAACAAACGAAAGGATGCATTAGGATTTGAACTCTGAATAGTGTCTGAACTAAAGTTATTAGCTTTTTACTTTGTAAATTGAACTCTTTAACCTTGTGGCATTAAAACAGACATGAACAATCACATAGAGAACATAACTTGGAAATAACTTAGACATCTGACATTTACAAGGAATTATGGCTTTATTTTTAAGATGCATGGAGAGGTGAAATTAATTGCAGCATATAACAAAGGTTTTCATCATGTTAAGGCAGAAAAACAAAACAAAACAAAACTTGTTCAGGGAACTATTTCATGTTGAGTTCTGGGTTACTGCTATGTGTCCTGAAGTGCAGAGTCAGCACTATACATGTTAGAGTAACCAGTTGTTTTGCATTTTTTAAGGAGATAATACACATAACCTATCTGGAATGGCACCTAGCCCGTAGGAAAGCCTCAATAAATGCCAATCATCTTCCTGTTCATTACTGTTTATTACGACTTATTTGACAAGTATGGGGGCCCCTTGGTTCTGCCTTCCCCACTTCCTCCAGGACCTTGTTTTCTACCATGCTTCCCCATACTCCCAGCCATTCTGGCTTTCTTACTCTTTCTCAAAGATATCAGACACTCTTTTCTACCTCCCAGCCTTTGCATGTGTTGTTCCCTCTGCCTGGAATAGGCTTGTCTCAAATATCTACATGACTCCCTCTCCCTTCAATCTTCTCAGGGAAAATGGCCCTAACCGCCTGTAACCCTCCTGCTATCCCCCCAGGACTCCTTATTCCCCTTTACTGCCTTCAGTTTTCTCTGGAGCACTACCATCTTCCACCAGAGTGTATCAGTTACACGTTTATTTTATATGCCTGTCTTCCCCCTACAAGAATGTAAGGTCCAGGAGGAGCTTTGTGCTTTGAACAGTGGCCAGCCCATGGTGGGTGCTCAGTCGGGAATGTGTGCTCAGTGAGGATGCGGGAGAAGGCAGTGGAGACCTAGTTCCTGCCCTGTTGAAGACTCAGAGCTGACTCGAGCTGAGAATCAGAACCAGAACAAGACAAAGTAAGAAAATAGTATGTCTAGTCCGACTGTTATTTATAGACAGAAAGTCTGCAAAGGTGGATTTAAACTAGAGCGATTCGTTCAGATATATTTAAAGTTTGGTTTTGAGGATAAATGCAAAAATATTGCCAGACTCTCAAGTTTTTATTTTTCATTAGACTATGGTGTAATTTTGCCTTTTTGCAACTGGAGAGTCATGTTGGTGTCATTTTCCAGATGTTTGTTCTCTGCTTTGTATATAGTTGTTTGCCTGGAAGGTGGGGGAGTGGGAGAGACTTAACTGATGGGAAAAAACCCACATGGTGATTTCTAGCCCAGTGTAGAAATAAGTTCTCTCTGTGAGCCCTTGCATGCTGAGTGCAGACCAGCTGTCAAACTTGACTTCCGGTGACAGCGAAGAAGAGAGGGTTTTGTTTTGTTTTC